ATGTTGGGAGTTAGGAATGTAGTCTCTAAGAAACAAAAAGAGATGTCAAGAATAAAATGTAACTCGCCTAAATCAAAATCCTTTTCAGCCTGAGGGTGTAAGAATGTACCAGAGACCCCTGTGGTCAGATTTGGATGGGGATAGAAATTGCTGATCTGCTGTTGGAGGGGTGAACACTGCACAGTCGTTACGGGAGACTAATTTCCCAGGTATAAATGTGAAACAAATGCAACCAGTATCAGCAGAGTCTGGAGCTATCATTACAGGGTGGCAGATTTCTTCATCAGATAGAGACTGACCCAATGAAAGGTGACGTTATTTTAAATTCTGTGTAAGGAAGGGACGAACTGACTGCAACTGCAAATGAAAAAAATTACTCAAGGAGCATAAAGTGCTCAGATCTAAGACCAAACAGCCATTGTGACAGTGAGGTAGCACAGTTTTATATTGCCTGTTAAAAACAAAACACAGTTTAGATTCCACTATGTCTGAGGTAAGCTTTGCCAGTGGGAAGAAGGATGCATTTGTACCATTGTACCCCACTGATTTCTTGTTTGGAATACAATATACTGGTTCAACTGTATTCAAAGCAGAATGAAAATGAAATTGGAACAGGTGCAGGAAGGGGTTATTAAGGTGGCTGGGGAGCTTGGCTCAAACACTGCAGTGACATGCACTGAAACGGGACGTAACTGCTGTCCAGAAATATCCTGAGGTAGATCAGAATGGGAAATAATAATTTTAAAGCTAGTGTTAAGTATAAACTGATTAGGAATAAATTTAGGCTGTAAACCATAAAATCCCCAACAATCAGGACAAGCAGGCTTTAAAACAAGAGGAGTGCCGAGGGCAAAGGCTTGAAACGGTCGAAGACAGTTTCACAGAAGTCGCTCCGTGGTCTGGTTGTCTGCAATAGGAGACGAGGTGTCGATGACCCAGGAGGTACCTCCTACCTGTGTGCCCCTGTCATCTTAGGAGGCCCCAATCCTGAAACACAGTTTTTTCTTCTTGCCTCGAGTTTGCAGCAGGCTCAGGGTCGCAGGGAGGATTTCTCAAAGAATTCAGTGGAAGGTTTGAGGAGAGAGAGGCTGTTGGCATTTTTCACATTGTTTATCTTATTTCTAATCCAAGTATGAAGCAAACGCATTCTATTCTAGCATCTACTCCTGAATTACTCGCTCGACCAAAACGCCAGTTGACATCAATGGGAGCCCTGTCCAAGTGAAGACAGCAGGATGAGGCCTGACATATTTCCTTCCACCCAGCTGGAAAATAATAATAATAATGATAATTTTTTAAATCCTCATAGTAGTTATTCTTCTGAAAAGTTAAAATAACACGGTGCTGTGACTAGAGAGTTATAAGGGAAAGTGCATCAGGAATGTAATATTGTTTCCAGATGTACAATGTCATAAAGAATTTTTTCCACACTTGGAATGGTAACAGGAATTTTTTGAGAGAGATCATTTACACAGTGATGAGATATGTTACATGTAAGTAAATGCCTGTATGCCCGGAATGCTTGTACCATATGTCGAAATGGGGGTCTGTGAGTGATACAGCTTTTGTCTATATGATGGTGTGTATTTGCATACGTGTGATTTGAAGACGAGCACGCTTTAGGATATACAAATATTGAGGTAATGTAACGAGAGGGGAGGAAAAATTGTAGAACCTAGTTAAAGGTTCATAAAGAAATAAACCACTCTGAACTGTGCGGGGGAGTGAAAGCGAGGCAGTGCTGCTCAGAGAACCTGAGTTTAACGCGCTAAAGACAGTTTGTCTGAATGTCACGGGAGGTGAACCCTCAGTGTGGTTTTTGAGCAGGGATTACTTTACAGAAATCCACTTGGGAAGCAAAAGTAATGTGAAGATACAACACACGCGTTTCTCCGGTACTGCTGGGGAATCATTATTTTATGTCTGGGGCTTCCTAGCTAATAACAAGACCCTTCCAGATCTGCAGAGAGGCGTAAGGACTGCCAAAATCATCACTTAGAAGCCTGAAACTCCCTCAGCATTCCTAGAGATGGAACATACTCTGGGATGGATGAAGGACTAACGCATTGCCCTCTATTTCTTGCTCCATTGGTTGCCCTATGAAAGGCCAGCAGAGGTGACGGGCTGATCCAGCTGTTGGGTGGCACAAAATCTTTAGTCTTTATTCTGTCTGTGTCAAATTTGGCCCTCAGCTGCTATTACTGGAATCCATGGCCTACCTGATGTATTTTTATGTTCTTAGGTCATTCTCTTAGGATTACGTTTTGCATCAACTACTGATCTTAGGTATAAGGCCATCAACTTGAATAGGTGCCATCATATCAGGAAAAGAAAAATGCACCAAAACCATTTGCAGGGGACTTGCCAGTGCTGTGGACAAACCTGAGAATTTAAGTCTCCAGGGAAGTTTACACATCACCTTTCATCGGCATTAAATGCAGGTTTTTTAAAAAAAGACCTGGAATGTTTTACAACGTTAGCAGAACAAGTGTTATTGATAAATACAGGTATTGGCAAAAATGCATAGAAATGGTTAACAAGGTAATGGTAGGAAACGTTGACCTTGATTTGTTTAGCTAAGATGTAAAGATTTTTGAAGGTCAAAGGTGTTCTTGTGTAGTGTTTTGGAGTCTAACTGTGTCTGACCCTCTAACATTAAGCTGCTGTGGCCTGCAGTTTTGAAGAGTGAAGCAAACCAGGGGGAAAGAGAGAAGGGGGAGAGAACAGGAAATGGAGTGAGGTGTTTCAGGAAGTTGTCAGGAGTTGACTGATTGATTCCAGATGGAAAGGGTCACCCTTCGTGACCCAGGAAATACTCACTGGGGGAAAGCAGTTGGCTTGTGAAAGGGAAGGGCCTGGGAGTTAGAGACCATAGTGGAATGCACATTCCTCTTCCTTTTATCCATAAAACATTGGGGTTTTTTACTCTTCAGTATAAAACAATTGGGTTGTCATCTTCATCAGGCAAGAGGGAATGACTGGAGCAAAGTGACAAACTTCAGTAGCTTTTACATCTGTAATCTCCCATGTTCTTACTCCTCATTGATAACGAGTTGGCTAGCAGTGTCGTAGCAAAGGCAACAAAGGTCGCTGCTGAATTTCAGCAGTACCTTAGAGATTACTGCAAATAAGGTCCAAAACTTTGAGAATGTTGTGGTCCAGACCTGAACTTTGCATTTTGTCCCATCCCCGAGAATGCTGTCTTTATGGACCCTCGGTCCCAGCCTGTGTAACGCCAAGTGGCTTTGACCGTCCTGTGATGAATGGGAGAGGTGAATAAAAATGGAACCGCTCACGGAGAGAGGTCTAAAAGTGCATCTCCCGTTCCTGCTGGCTCAGGGAACAGGAGATGCTCAGCACTTACCTTCTAAACAGAGGACGATTTCTCGCTATTACTCATGCTGCAGGGATCTCTGCAGCTCTCGCTGAGATGCGGCACTGGTGTTGTGCACGTTTCCACCCAAATGGTTGTTCAAACAAGAAGTGTGTTTCATACTGAGAGTGTGTGGGTGTGTGTTTATCACATACGTACCTCGTGTATCCGAGTTCAGATATGTATATACTATATAGTGTAGCTGTATATATATATATGATATACTTTTTATTTACATTTGGTTACAATTTAAACACTTGTCGTAAATATTTCAGACACTGGAATAATTCAGGTCTATTCCCCTGTTGCCATAGTGTGCTCTGTGCTGGCCAGTGAGAGATTAAAATTTATTTCCATTGTTTAACGGAAAATAATGAAGTGCATCTGAGTGGGTTCAGCTATGTCATGCGGGAAATGTTCACTTTGGATAGGAGTCTCACTCCACCCAAATGCGCAATGAGGAAATCAGTTGGCACACGAAAGCAACACATTTTGTGACAAGAATGCTTGAGAAGTGTAAGAGTACAGTGTGACAAGAGCCTTTTGGAATGAATTAAGCTGGTCTCGAGGTAGAAAGTGTTCTTTAAGCTAGCATAATCCTGGAGAAGGGCAAGGTTTCTCCTCCTATACGCTGAATATAGTTTTATCAAGAATTAGAGCTTGACATTCTCTTACCTAGACCATGACAGCTGCATCTGTGAAAATTCATGAACACATCCAGGGTCAGATTCTCACTAGCTGTGAATTACAGGAGCTGTGTGGCAGCTGAATGGAGTTAAACTGATTTACACCAGCTAATGGTCGAAACCCAAAAGTTTCAATAAGATGCGTCTTCTTTCAGTAGTTAAAACACAGTTTGCTCATTTTTGCCTGAAGGTTTGTGGTTTAAAGGCACGTATATTTCTGGGTTTATGGGAGTTACAGCTTTGGATATTGTAAAGGGAAACCTAAGTGGGATTAATTAACATATACAGTTACTTCCTCTAAGAATTCATGCGCTATTGGAGCCCAACAACCTAAGTCATGGAGACTAAGGTTTAAAAACTACTGCTTGATTTGGGGTCCTCAGGCTCAGATGATTTTGAAGAGGCACTAAGCACACATATGTCAGAAACCAGGCCTTGCGTTAGGTACTACTTTCACGTGCTAGGAGTTTCCATTTCGCTCAGTCAGTGGAGACCCATATTTCGGAAGCAGATGCGGATCCCTTTGCCTGCGTGCGCGGCGCAGCAGATGGCTCCGAGTCTGCCTGCACGTATCAGGGGGCAAATTGCCGTGGTGCTCTGCAGCCTGCCCTCCTGGTTGGTGTGTACAGGCCTCTCTGCCATCAGCTATGCTACAGTGCGTCATGGGGAGCTAAATTTAGGGCCATCTGCAGTGGCTGGTTCATTATACAGTAAGGACTTTTTACGACCCTTAGGATGCGGCGTTAAATGGAATTAACGCATAGAACCAAGGCTGAAAATATTTTCTCCCCTTCTTCTTAGGGAGTAAACCCTGAAGGACATGATGCCATTTTACAGACAGGAGAGGGTTTTAAATAAACTGAATAATTAATACTTAGCAAGTTGAATTTCAAAGCAATTTGTTTACCTGCCTCCTTTTTCTTCCCTTTTGAAATATCTAGGTTGTGCTATCAACAACAGTGAATGTTGATGGGCACGTACTGGCAGTGTCTGACAACATGTTCGTTCACAACAACTCCAAGCATGGGCGGAGAGCAAGGAGGCTCGACCCCTCAGAAGGTAGGATATTTGTATGAAGAGCAGTGCAATGCAAATGAATGCAAAAGCACATTTCCCATTCTTCAATTTCTATTTGTTTTCAGGAGGGAAGGAGAGCTAAGGGGAAACTACAGAACCTCAGGGGGTTTCGAGAAAGAAGAGGCAGGAAAACAGTGTCTACTGCATGCAAAATATGAGCCTCTCTCCATCTAAGAGACTGGCTCCCCCTCCCCCCTCAATTTATTAATTAGTTTGCACTGCAAAGATGAAAAACACAGAAACACTGAGTATTAGCTAAATTTCAGACTTCTCGTTCAGCTGGGATAGATTTGATTTCAGGCAAATTAGGCAACATGACATCTTAGTTAAACAGAACTGTTGCGGCACAAGATGTGTATGAAAAAGTGTCACCAGTTCCCTTAAACAAACTACGCGCAAAGCATAACAATGCACGGAGGGAAGCTGACACTAATTGATTTTAGTTTGTTTGGCTAAGCAAGACTCATGGCCGGCTACAGGATGGGCTTTGGACTATATTAAAGCAATTACAAATACTTGTATCTGTTAAGCTTCAAAATCGTTGGCCCCTCCTCTCCCTCCTCCCATAGGTTCACTACCCGTGCATTCCACCTCTGTCACACAGAACTCAAAATGACCAGAAAATGCTATCTGTGTCTACTTTTCCCTCCCCTGCAGCTAGTGAAAGTGAGAAGAGCTAGTGATGTTAGTAGAAAAGACAAGCAAGGATATTATTTCATTATAATGTTTTGCTGCCCCACTCCTTAACTGTGCCCTATATCAACCTAAAAGAAGAATTAATGAACTGGAAGAAAATGATTGAATCAGTAAAGAATTCAGAGTGGTGTTAATTCTCCCCCAGCGGGCAGTGAAATGGTAGAAGGAAAATCCCAGGATTCCTAGCCTAGGAAGCCATCCAGTTTTTCCTTGACTGATTGGATGTGATTGACTGGCTGTTCAAAGGAGTCTCGTGTTTTTGGAGCACTGCCAAAGTTCCCCTCCACCTCTGACCCTGTCAACATTGGGAATGGAGTGATGGATTGACTTTGGTTATGGCCTGGAAACCATATTGGGTTCCTGATGGGATGTATAGTCCAGAGGCCTTGAACATATGGAAGAGAGAAGGAAAAAAAAAAATGTACTCTATAAAATCAAGAAAATTATTAGAACTCGTCTCCTGATAGGAATCAGAGGAAATGTCTGATATTTACATATCTTTTTTACCCATCGATAAACTTAATAAATCTTAATCCACCTCTCTTTCCACAGGGTTTAGCTTTTGTGTGATCGTATGCTAATGAGCGTTTTTTAAAAAAAAACCCAACCAGCCTCTGCACAGTCATTTAAGCGTTTCATTTTTACACCCACTACAGTTGGCCTATTAGGCTGTAATGACACGATGTTAAGTGCCAGTAATGAATAGGCAAGTAATTAACACTAGCAAGGCAGAAAACATGCTTTTATTTATTTATTAATTTCTTTATTTACTGTGCTTCGTGGAATGGTAACGCAGCCTTCATGGGTGAATGGCTGGAGGGGACTTGTCCCAGGCCTGTGTCAGCACTCGAGAATTCACGCCGGCCATGAAGCTGCAGCGGCGCAGAATTGCCCAGGAGCAGGTGAAGCTGCTCTAAGCTCCAGCTCTGCATCGCTGTGACTTCGGGCCGCTTACTGGGCACACAACTCACTTGCACCCGCCCGCCGTGAGCGCTTACAT